AGATGACCTATAACGACCAGTCATTTCGGGGTCATTTGAGGTCATTTGAAAAATTTGCAAATGACCAGGTCATTTACTATCACTGGTTTAGATGGTTAGGATTAGGGTTAGCTATGTAGGTTAGCAGGATCTATAGTAAAATTATTAATTAGCTGTTCATTTTTTACTTAATGAACGACTATGGTTTTATTAGTAAAATTTTTAGTGATCTTGGGTAAAATTGATCAATTCAGTCCATCCGATGCATTCCGACCGGAATTTTGGGATCATCCTGCATGAGTTCAGTTTGTATAGTTCATATTTAGTCAAATCGACAGCCAATACGGATTTTTAATCATGCTGTTATATACTGGATCAGATATTTTATGTAATCTTGGAATTATTTGTTTGAAATTATTGTGAGAGATTATGCTGAAATTTGGATCATGCTGAAATGATATATAAGCTATAAAAAAAATATTTAATTAAAAATAAAACCCTCTAAACCCTAACCCTAACCTAAAAAAAATTGTACTATATATTTTACAGAAATGGACCAAATTTTTTTTAAAAAACTTCGTATTTACTAATATAAAATTAAACCATAATTTGGGCCAACTGGCCCAAAAATTTTTGTTGGGTTTGTATAAGTTAAACTATAATTTAAATGATGCGCAACAAAATTCTACACAAAAACAACTTCCTGATGTTGATATACAAACTAAAGGATATAGTAATTAAAAAGAAAAGGTAGAAAGATCAGTTCCGAATCATTTAATTGCGATATTTATATTTATATATATGTATATATGTGTATATATATTTCATCAGTATCATAAAATCAGATTATCACAAAATCTACGTTTGTGACTTGTTTGCATATTCTATGCTATTTCGACCATTTACAGTAAACTCGTTAATAAGTTCAACATCCATCATTTCAATAAAATCATTTTTCTTTATTAAACGTATTTCAGTTGGTATCAACGGATTAATCTTCTTAAACCATAATTGTGGAAATAAAGCCAAACTAGCCGAATCTAATATTCCAATTCCCGAATTAAGTGGTACACTCTCTTTTGCTAGCTTTTTCAGATATTTCACATGGTGTGCGTGATGAAATCCTGCTCCCATAAATACCGAATTAAATAACCATCCGGGACTATCCCAAGTGTGTGACCTAAGCTCTTTATTATTATCCACTGATTTGTACGTCAAATTTCGATTCAACCCGTAATGTTGCGTATATGCGTTTGATGAAAATGATATTTGTGTAACAATACTTTGTAGCAAAAGATGAGCTAAAGCTTTCCAACCAAGAATTAGATACGAACAACTGAAGAATGTAATTATAATAACTATAGAATCAACTCTACTTCCATAATAAAAATTGCCCATCCAATTTCGTGGAAGAAATTCCCAAAATGACTCATTAAAATATGGTGTATCAAAATCTTCAGGACATGCAAATTTAACATGGTGCCCTTTCCAATGGTATTGTCCAAATCCCCAACTCATGCCAAGAGTAATATCGATTAAATTTGCCATCAAGTATACAAAACTCGATCTTATTTTGTATAGTTTACCTCCCATATGCAAAGCTTCGTGTTTTATTACTGCGCCATATGTTGCCATTAGCAATGCACCATTTAATGCGTATATTATCCATTTAAATGAATCTGATTTGCTAGATTGAAATAATGTCACTAATAAATAAAATATTGCACATATTTCGTGTACAATAATTCGGGTTGAAGATGGTTCTAATGCAGTCAATGCTTTGAATCCTGTAATATTGTCAAATAGAGAAATAATTACAAATGAGAAAATTTGTGGAACAAATAAAGCATATGGCGAAGGAATCGTTAACACGGTGAGGTATAATAATGGATAAATCCAATCCATTTTCCACGTGTGTTTAGGAATCATTATTGAGTTTAAAAATCTTTTTTGCTTGAAAAAAGTCGAGTAAATGCGAATATAATTATGATTTAATATATTATAATTTGAAAAATTCTCATACCAGTATTTATATTGAACTACTGAGGTTGTTGACTCCGATTATATCATTATACTGTATTAAAAACGATGTCAATCATCCATAACGATGATATTTTGTGTATCAAATCATGAATGATTTGTTATACAAAATTTACATTTGGTTGATTATTTTATTTTATTTTAGAACGGCAATAACGCTCTGTTTATTTAATTACATTATTTTGGCTAGTTTTAATATACAGTAAATCTTGGCTTCGTTATTACCCATAAATTTAAAATGATGATATATGTGGAAATAAACTATTTACAGGGTTTGGCAACCTATTTTAGACAAATTAAGAATCAAATTGGGACATAGTAACAATCAAAATTGAACATAATAACAATCAATTTTCGTAATCAATTTCGAACATCACATCTAGGGCTCAGGGACCAGTAAAAATTTAGATATAAAATTTTCAAAAAAAATCTAAAATTTCACGTATCAACACAAATATTCTAAAATTTTAAATTATAGGAAATTTATATCTAAAATTATCAATTTTAACTAAAATTTTCTAAAAAATTTCCTTATTATATTACTAGATAACAGCGTGACGCCATCGCGCGAGACCAGGAACGGGAGATCTACGCAGAGAACAGAATCAATGCATCTGATACTATAAATTATGATGCATTCCAGCGTTAATAGCGCCGCTGGATATTAAACCTTTATTAGAGAGTTATAGCATACATCATACATCAGTACGTTTGATGTATACTTGAAAGAGATATATAGTATACATCAGTGCGTTTGATGTATGATTGGAATTAGCCGATGGTTTCCCACACGCATAAATGCAGGACGGCTGTTAGTCAGAAGCTTTGTAGTCACATGATCTTAGCCGGTTGTTTCCCACCTGCATAATACAGGCCGGCTGTAAAGAAATGTTTAAGTTGCCACAAAATGGCAGGATTCTATTGAGGGAGGGTAGGGCAGGGTGCGAAATTGAATTTTCTCATGAAAGGGCTTGCTGTCGTGCTCTTACGTTTTTGTTATTGTCATACGTTCCCTGCTAAATTTGGATAATCGGATCATCATTTTTTAAAGTATGTATGCAGCGATCACGGATCAGAATTTTGGGTTTACTAATTCATTAAGTTCCTATTGGTCGAATACAAATTTTGTCCCTCATTGAATGAATTAATGTAAAAAAGTATCGATTCGAATAATTGGTTTGTAATTGTTTTTTCCGTAAAAGTTAAATGTTTATTTACCGTATTTTCGTGTAATAACGCACACCTGTGCGTTATTCCGAGCACCTGTGCGTTATTTCGAGATGCACATGTGCGATATTTCAGATCAATATTGCCAAAATTTAATAAACATGTGACTATAATTATATTTATAGTGAAACTCTTAGGGGAGGGGGTGCGTTATTTTGAGTCAAATAGGCGATTTTAAAAAAAGTGGCAATTTCAAAATAACGCACATGTGCGTTATTACACGAAAATACGGTAAACATTTCTTCTTACTCATTAATACTAGTTCTCTAGCTCTCCACATTCAATAAAAAAACACTCTGGAAACTTTTTTTCCAGCAGATTTTCTTGAATTGTTTCATCTCAAACTGAAATAAACATATATGAGAGGACAGCCGAGTAAAAACTAAACTTTTGGTTTTATTTTATATTATTTTTCTTTCTCATTTTTTTTTAATTATTTTTTTATTTTTTTATTTGATTAATTTAATTTTTAATTTTTAATTTATTTTTTAATTCGATTAATTTTAATTTAATTTTATTTTAAGTTACTTTATTTTATTTTAAATTGTTTCTTTTATTTATATTTGTCGTATACCGCGATATAGCGCATAGGGAGTTATTTCAAATTTCGGCCTGAATTAAGCTTAATTTAGACCGAAATTTGAAACCACACTCCATCGTGTTATTTTGTGGTTATACGGTATTTTTTAATTTTTGCTTTTTTAATATGTTCATTTTACCGGGGACATCAAAGAGGAAGGGGAAGGGTGATGTTAACCGAAAAATTAACTTCGAACAGCCTTATCAAATTTTGTAGCAAATAATTTAAGGGTAAATAGATAAAAATAACAGTGTTATTGTATCTATTTACTCCTTAAATTATCTTTATATGTACGTATATTGTTTGCTACAAGATTTGGGTTTGTTTTGTGAATAACTTTAAGGATACAACTTAGGATCAATTCAGGACCAATTCCGCAAATCAGCTAGAGAACTAGTATTAATAAGTAAGAAGAAATGGTTAAATAAACATTTAACTTTTATGGAAATAACAATTACAAACCAATTATTCGAATTGATACTTTTTTACATTAATTCATTCAATGAGGGACAAATTTGTATTCGATCAATAGGAACTTGGGGGGAATTAGTAAACCCAAAATTCCAATCTGTGATCGCTGCATACATTCTTTAAAAAATGATGCAGTCCGATCTCTAGATCGCAAGAGTTTTGACTGTAAAAATTATACGTACGAAGTTCTTTTTCTCGGATGAGTACATCATATGATTTTTATTTATTTATTTATTTTTGCCCTCTCCTTTATAATAGGAATGTAAATGTTAACAACTGAATCAAATTTATCTGACCTAATTAGCAATTCAACTAGAATCTCTAGATTAAATTTAATTTGAAGTCAATTCATTATAACATATTTACTACATTAAAAATAGCTTGTTTATTTTATATATTCGTTTCATTTGCTCCTGAGAGTCCTGAAAAGTGATGTTAACCAAAAAATTAACTTCTAAAGGTATACTCTTTTGGATAAAGAGTTATCCAGGTACGATCAGTATGCCAATTGCATGCTAAAAGCCTATTTTTGTATGCCACCTCATAAATTAGGTACACAAAAATAAGCAATATGTATTATAATTGGTAGGTGTTGGTTAGTGATGTGCCGCGTACAGTACGTACGTACGTACGTACATGTATGCTAAAATTTTTGCTGATCACTTGTTCCAGCCAATCAGATGCCAGAAAAGGAACTATACGTACAGTACACACTGTACGCTAAAATTTTTCAGATATTATAAAAATGGCACATCACTAGTGTGATAAGGTAGTATATATAATATATAATATAATATACATAAAATATTTGTTATGTATTAGTGAGTGGCATCCTGGCATGAATTTAAACAAAATGGCATGCTATTTGACAGGCCAAAATTTTTAAGCGTGCTAGGTACTCTACACTAATGGCTCTGAAGACTACCGAAAACAGTTGAAAACAAATCCATATTTGGCTAGTTCAATTATGATGGGCAATAATAATAATAATAATAAAGTGCATTTTTATAGATGATCATTATTTCATTTATAAAGTATTAGGCTTCAAATACTTTCACATGTTGATTAAAATTAATGGTTATATTCCTGCTTAGCCGTCTTTTCAATATGTTGACTTCTTATCAGCCTGATTTTTATTTATTTTATTTTTAATTAAGTTCATAAGCCTATTTTTTAATTAAAATTGGATCAGCTTTTTTTTCTTTATTTTTTATTTGTTAGAAATTTGCACTTGAGTTTGCGATTTGGGTGGGACTGTATATCAATATAATTATATAATAATAGTTTTTGTGCAACTACAAAAAAGAAATCTTTCATGAATCTGGTTGGATTCAGATATGATCAAATCAGTGTTTTGGCCTAAACTGAATCTTTCGGCTGGCGAAACCTCTGAAATCTCTGAAATATAGTTTCGCCAGAAGTCCCAAATCCAAAACTTCTGAAATCTCTGAAACTGGGCGAAACCTCCAAAATGGGCAAAACCTCCAAAACAGGTGAAACTTCAAATACTTCCGAAACAAATAGCCAATAAAATGTGAAAATTTTCAGATCATGTAAAAAACACATGCATAAAGTTACATCCAATACTAGGTGAAACTAGGCGAAAACTCTGAAATTGGGCAAAACTGCTGAAATCTCCGAAATTGGGCAAAACTACCAAAACCTCTGAAATTGGGTAAAACTGGCTGAAACCTCCAAAATAAATTTGATAAGACTGGCCGAAACCTCTAAAATTGGTGAACTTTTCTAAATATTCTGAGTAGAATATCAAAAAACGTAAAATATGAGCAAGGTTGAGGAAAAAATAGAGGAAAGAACTAAACTTTCTGAAAGATAGAGAGTTTGGAAGGATGTTCAGAGGGTTTTAGAGGTTTCACCCATTTCAGAAGTTTTGCCCATTTCAGAGGTTTCAAATTTTGGGCGAAACCGAAACTCCAGAGCCGAAATGTTTCGGACTTTGGAAAGAAGTTTAAAACGAAACACTGGATCAAATTCAGATTTGCATTATACGGATTTGAATTAGTGATATGGGCCAATAAAAAACCTTAGGCCGGGGCCGATCTGGGCTAAGCGGGCAATTGGGGCTGACCTTTTATGAATAATTTGAAAAATTCTGAAAGGTACTCAACCTTTCTCACACTTTTATATCAATTGAGAGTTATTTAAATTCGATTCAATCTTTTTTTTCTAATCCTAATAATGGGGTCATCTAAAGCGGAGCAGAATCACGTGATATTCATGATGTTGGCCAAAATCAAAAAGTGATAATTGGCCAGAAAAAAGATCATCAGAATATGTTTTTAAAACTTTTTTTTAAAATTGAACGAAGATATCTCAGCAACTACCTATTAAAATTGATAAAATTTTTTAAATTTAATTCTACTTATTCATAGAATTAAGATAAAAAAAGGTTTATTGAATTTTATTAGGTAGTTGCTGGGATATCTTTATTTTAAAATCTTAAACTAGAAGCTGTGCCGAACTATTTGAATTTTGAGTGAAGATATCTCTGCAAGCACCTAGAAAAATTCTATAAATTTTTTTATTTTAATTCTACAAATTCGTAAAATCGAAATAAAAAAATTCC